AGGAAGGAGGGAAGGGATAGAAAGAGAAGGAGAGAGGGCAGGAGGGGAAGAGGGAGAGAGGAGTAGGGGAGAGGAAAGGGAAAGGAGAGGAGGAAGGAAGAGGAAGGAGGGAAGGGATAGAAAGAGAAGGAGAGAGGGCAGGAGGGGAAGAGGGAGAGAGGAGTAGGGGAGAGGAAAGGGAAAGGAGAGGAGGAAGGAAGAGGAAGGAGGGAAGGGATAGAAAGAGAAGGAGAGAGGGCAGGAGGGGAAGAGGGAGAGAGGAGTAGGGGAGAGGAAAGGGAAAGGAGAGGAGGGAGAGGAAAGGAGAGGAAGAAGGGAAGGGATAGAAAGAGAAGGAGAGAGGGCAGGAGGGGAAGAGGGAGAGAGGAGTAGGGGAGAGGAAAGGGAAAGGAGAGGAGGAAGGAAGAGGAAGGAGGGAAGGGATAGAAAGAGAAGGAGAGAGGGCAGGAGGGGAAGAGGGAGAGAGGGGTAGGGGAGAGGCAAGGGAAGAAGGGAAAGGAGAGGAGGAAGGAAGAGGAAAGGAGAGGAAGGGATAGAAAGAGAAGGAGAGAGGGTAGGAGGGGGAAGAGGAAGAGAGGAGTAGGGGAGAGCCAAGGGAAGAAGGGAAAGGAGAGGAGGAAGGAAGAGGAAGGGAGAGGAAGGAGGGAAGGGATAGAAAGAGAAGGAGAGAGAGTAGAAGGGGAAGAGGAAGAGAGGAGTAGGGGAGAGGCAAGGTAAGAAGGAAAGGGAAAGGAGAGAAGGAAGGAAGGAAGAGGGAAGGAGGGAAGGGATAGAAAGAGAAGGAGAGAGGATAGGAGGGGGAAGAGGAAGAGGAAGAGAGGAGCAGGGGAGAGGCAAGGGAAGAAGGAAAGGGAAAGGAGAGGAGGAAGGAAGAAAGTAGAGAAGGGAGGGAGGGCGAAGAGAAAGGAAAATAGAGTGGTAATAATACAAAATAGGTGTAAGCAAAGGAACCAGAATGTAAATCTTAACCTTTTATATGGAAAAACGAACATGTAAAAGTGATAAAGATAAATAAGAATCATAACTCTGTGAATGTATACCTGTAACTGTACGTAAGAAAATAAAAATATTCTTTTTAAGAAAAGCTAGAGGGGTTTAGATCGGAGGTCTTCAACCTTGGGGGGCCCTTTGAAGACTTGTGGAGTTCAACTCCCAGAGTGCCGGCTGGGGAATTCTGGGAGTTGAAGTCTACAAGTCTTAAAGGGCCCCCGGGAGGTTGGGAGACCCTCTGCTTTAGAGGGTCCTGAAGCTCTTTGCCAACCATTCCATGGAAGTTTCTCTGTGCCAAAAAAGAAAAATGTATTCACGTTGTACAGCAATTTAAGAGACGTTTCCGAGCGTTTCTTTCTGAGCTCGGAGTCACGGCCGACTCGGAGGAGTTTTCACACTCTGCTTGCCCTGCTGACATGGGCAGATTCCTCGCCAGGCGTGCGTGTCCGTGTGCGTCCGTGTGCCTTCGCCAAGTCGGCCAATAAACGTGTCGAGTGAGCCGAGAGAAAAATTCCAACAGGAAAAAACATGAGAAAATTGGAATGAGGAGTGAATCAAAAGGGCAGCCAGGAAACGAAGGGAGGGAGAACTCCACGGCTGGCTGGCTTTATTTTATTTTATCCCGTTTTGTTTATTTGTTTGTTTATTGATTCAGCACCAAAGTTCTGTCTTTTGTAACCGGGGTGTTTTATTTTTTTATTTTTTCCCAATAAAGGCCGATTCTGGAGACGCAGCAAATTTTAACAAGTTTTGCAACCGGTTACAAACTTGGGTTTCCCTCTGGTCGCTCGTTAAAACGTAGGAAATATATTTAGCCCTGCTAAATATTCGCAAAGCTTCGCTTTTCAGTTGTTTTCTTGGCCTTGGTCCACCGTGGAGCAGAGGGTTGAAGGGAGCCAAGATCCTAAACTCCCCTGGAACCTCCCAGAAGGAGAAAAGAAGGAACACTTATTTTCTCACCAAGGGGGGAAACGGTTCCGCTGACGTCCTCCAGGATCCTATATAAAACAACCGGCCCATTCTATTTCGAATGCTGAACGCTAAAACAGCCTTGGTGTTTTTCTTAGTCCCCCATAAATTGTTTTTTGGGGAATTTGTTGGATTGTTCTTATACCCCTGAGACTGTGTGTATGGGTATATATTTATTTTCTCTCCTCCTCCCCTTCTCTCTCTCTCTCTTTCTCCTCTCTCTCTTTCTCTTTCTCCCACTCCCTTTCTCTCCCCCTCTTTCTGTTTCTCTTCTCTCTTTCCCTCTCCTCTCTCTTTCTCTTTCTCTCCCCTTTCTTTCTCCTCTCTTTCTCTCTCCTCCCCTCTTTCTCTTTCTCTCCCTTTCTGTCTCTCCTCTCTCTCTTGCTCTTTCTCTCCCCCTTTCTGTTTCTCCTCTCTCTTTCTCTCTCCTCTCTCTTGCTCTTTCTCCTTTCTCTCTCTCTTTCTCTCTCCCTCTTTCTCTCACCTCTCCCTCTTTCACTCCTCTCTCTTTCTCTTTCTCTCTCCTCCCTCTCCTCTCTTTGTCTCTCTCTTTCTCCTCTCTCTCCTCTCTCTTTCTCTCTTTGTCTCTTTTTCTCCTCTCTCTCCTCTCTTTCTTTCTCTCTCCTCTCTCTCTCTTCCTCTCTCCCCCCTCTCTCCCGCCCTCTCTCTCCTCTCTCTTTCCCACTCCCATTCCCTCCCTCTCTCCTTCCTTCCTTCTCTCTCCCCCCCCTCTCTCCTCTCTATCTCTTGGAAGGGAGTTGGAAGGAACCCTGGAGGTCATCTAGCCCAACCCCCTGCTCAAGCAGGAAACCCATATACCATTCCAGACAAGTGGCTGCCTAGTTTCTTCTGAAAAGCCTCCAGTGACGGAGCCCCCACGGAGGCCAGCCCTCCCACCCACTAATGGTTAATTCTGCTGATTAATTGCCTCGGTTGTGCTGTCTCTCACACAGGAGCTGTTGGGCCTCCCAAAGTCCCCGTTGGAATTTATCCATGTTTTTTGGGGGTTGAGGCTGCTTTGATTTGGTTCCTCTTCGACTTCTCTCTCTCTCTTATTTTTCCCTCTTCCTCCTCTGCAGGTAACTCAGAACGACATGATAATGGCTGAAAGGCTCTTTGGGATCTTGGCCTACGTGGCATCTTCCAACGTGCCCTACTACCGCCTGATCTCGCTGCTGGGAGACTGCAGGTAAACAAGGGAGGTTAAGCAGAGGGGCAGGGAGGGAGGGAGGAAAGACAAAAGAAGGGAGGGAGGGAAGGAGCGAAGAAGGGAGGGAGAGAAGGAAGGAGGAAAGAAGGGAGGGAGGAAAGATAAAAGAAGAGAGAGGGAAGGAGGAAAGGGAGAGAGGGAAGGAGGAAAGAAGAGAGGGAGATAGGNCCCCCCCCCCCCCCCCCCCCCCGCCTCTTTGAAGGGCTGAGGCTGGTCTCGGAAAGGCTCCGGGCCTGGGAATCGCTTCTCAGAGAGGGAGAGTCAGAAAGCTGTGATCCAAGTAGATTGATCAAGTAGATCCTTCAAGTACACTTGAGGGGAAGTCCTGGGTGCTCTCTGAGCTCGGTGGCTTTCTTGCAGGCGTTTCATGACCCAGCTAGGGAACATCATCAGAGCCAGAAGGGAGAGGAGTTTGTGGAGAGGAAGAGGAGGGAGGAGGAGACCTACAGAGGTCCTTGGTACTCTCTGAGCTCGGTGGCTTTCTTGCAGGCGTTTCATGACCCAGCTAGGGAACATCATCAGAGCTAGAAGGGAGAGGAGTTTGTGGAGAGGAAGAGGAGGACTGTGGGGCTCTCTGTGCTCAGTTGCTCCCTTGCAGACGTTTCGTGAGCCAACTGGGCCTCCTCCTCCTCCTCCTCCTCCTCCTCCTCTCTTCCTCCTCTTGCCTCTTTCCAGCACTTGAAGTTCAAAGAAACCAACCTAAGCACCTTGCAGCAGTTCAACGCCTTGGCTCACCTGCGGCGGCTGGAGCAGTTGACGGTGGAGACTCAGGGAAACCCCGTGGTCAGCTTCACCTTGTGGAAGTTCTACGTCCTCTTCCGGCTGAGCCATTTTAACCTGCAGAAGATCAACGGGTCGGAGGTAAGGAGGCGAACCTTCCCTCCTCCACCCACTTGCCCTTCAAGGCCACCGCCTTCTTTTCTGGCCGGAGGAAGGTTTCAGGGGGATGTCGTCACCCGCCATAAGCCATGGCTAAGACTAACTGTCATTCACCTTAAGCCAGGCCATGTTAGTCTTGGACGCTAATATATTTCCCATTAAAGTTAGATGGGCTTGCCGGAACACCATCCCGAAAATGCACCAGCTGAGAGTTGAAAAGAGATAACCACAACAACAGAAAAGGAAAGGAAGAGAGGAGGAGAGGAAAGGGGAGAGGAGGAAGGAAAGGAGAGGAAGAANGGATTGTTGTTGGGGGCAATAGGCTGACTCTGTAAACCGCTTAGAGAGGGCTGAAAGCCCTATGAAGCAGTATATAAGTCTAACTGCTATTGCTATTGCTAACTCTGGGAGTTGAAGTCCGCACCTCTTAAAAGTCCCCGGGGTTGAGGACCACTGCTTTCAATTCTTCCAACACAGAAGCCACCTCCGTCCCCGGTGGACCTGTTCCATTATTGCATTGCAGGAAAATGGAAAAGAAAACTTAAGTTTGGGATATAATATACTCTCCCTGCTTTAAAGCCGGAGGTATCGCTTTGACGTGAATACAGCTGCCCTCCAGGACCAGGTCCAAAGCATCTGCAGCTGATCCTACCACTCTTGCACAGCCTAGGGAAGGGGTCAGCAACCCACAGCTCTGCAGCCACATCTGCCTCTCTCATCCCTCGGCTGCGGCTCCCTGTGGCTCAAAATATGCGTCACAAGCGCCAATATGCTGCACCCGCCACAGTTCATTGAGCTTTTCGACTCCCGGTAGGCCAACCATGGATAAATCCCAAGAAAATAAAAGTTTCAGAAGAAAACGAAACGTTTAATTCAAGTACCTCGGCTAGTTCTGTGGGCGCTCGGGAAATAGTCAGGCACGGGGAGGGTTTTGTGGCTCCCGGTGTTTTCTTTTCTGTGGGGAACGGGTCCAAATGGCTCTTTGGGCACTTAAGGTTGCCGACCACTGGCCCAGGGGCTTTTGGGGGGCTACGATGCTTCAGTTGTTGTGTGCTGAATGCCCGTACCCCCAGGCCAACAGGGGGGACTTCACTCAGCCTTTTATTCTGCTGGGTCTTGAGGTGGAAAGGCTGCAGGCCTCCCTGGGTTTGCCTGCAGCGGGAGGCGAGTTCTGCAGAAGATCATTTTCTGTTTTGGTGTGGCTGACCTCATCCTTCCCGCCTGGCACTTGCCAAGGTGAACATTGGTGAGACTTCCTCCAGCCGCCTTGGGCTTTGCGTGCCTAGCTGAGGGGCTGGCCTTGGGAAAGCGGTGGGGCAGGGTCCAGGGTTCTTTGGAAGGGAGGGGGAAGCCTCAGATGGCTAAGGGAGAGGAAGGTTTCTTGAAGTTTCTGTAAGTGCCCGGAGGGCAGGAAGCACAAAGGAGAAGCTGGAATAGCCATGTGAGTCTTTTGTTGAGAAAAAGAAAAGAGAAACTTGTTTTCTTTTTTTTAAAGTACCATTTACTTAAAAAACCCACAACTCTGAAGCAGAGTTGAGCTAAAGTTATCTATCTATCTATCTATCTATCTATCTATCTATCTATCTATCTATCTATCTATCTATCTATCTATNCTGACTCTGTAAACCGCTTAGAGAGGGCTGAAAGCTCTATGAAGCGGTATATAAGTCTAACTGCTATTGCTATTGCTATTTAAGCCTCCGTCTCTGCTTTGAGAAATCTGCACCGTGAGATTGAAAAGAGAACCAACGGGAGACACGCCCAAGGCGTCTAGGTGATATTTCCAGAAATAGAGTCCAATCAGAGGAGGCTTCTTCTTCTTTATTTTTATTTTTTTTCAAAGTGGTTTTGGCAGGAAGGTGGGTTAGATTCCTCCCTAAACGACTTGGGGAAGGGGCTGAGAAATCAAAGGGAACCAACGGGCACGTTGCACTTTCTGGCATCTTTTGATACCGAAAAATGAGATTAAAAAAAATGTTGTGCTGAACAAGGGAGGAGTTCAAAAACCGGGCAGGGAGCCCAGGAGCCTCGTTCAAGCGGACGATTCGCAAAGCCTCTCAGGGTTGTGAGATGTGTGAATGTGAGATACAGGAGCCTCCCTGTGGCAGGGAGTGGCCCGCAACAAATAGTTATGGCACAGGGAGTCCTCGACTTAACGACCACAGTTGCCCCCCAGGTTTCTGCTGCTAAGCGAGACATTTGCTCGGAGACTTTTGCTCGATTTCACGACCTCCCTTGCCGCTGCCTTTAAGTGAATCACTGCGGTTGTTAAGTGAGTAGCACGGTCCTTAAGTGAACCTGGCTTCCCCCTTGCCTCTGTTTATCAGAAGGGTCGTGCGGGGTGGAATCACGAGACCCCAGGACATTGCGACCGTCATAAATATGAACCCGTTGTCCAGGGTCCTAGTTTTGATCACGTGACCACGGGGATGGCAACGACAGTCGCCTGAGAAACGGTCGCAACTCCCTTTTTTGCAGGCTCGTCGTAACTTTGAAGGGTCACTAAACAAACTGTTGTAAGTTGAGAACTGCCTGAATATTCCTAGTCCTGGATAGGGATTTTCAGCCTGGACCTGGGAATGTGGATGGCACGAGGGCCTCTCTTCCCTTCCTCTTCCTCTCCCTTCCCCTCTGCTTCCGTATAACAGTTCTTCTCCCTCTCCCTCTTTTTCCTCCCCGCCCCCCTCTCTCTCCCTACCTCCCCCTCTTTCCCTCTTTTCCTCTCCCTCCCCCACTTTCCCCCTCTCTCTTTCCCACTCTCCCTCCCTTTCTCTCTTTCCCCCTCCCCCTCCCTTTCTCTCTTTCCCTCTCCTCCCTTTCTCTTTTCCTCTCTCCCTCNAAAAAAAAACTCCACTTGCCTTTTGGAAGAAATCAACTTTGGGACAAGTCCGATATGTATGACGGCGAATCTCCGTAGACGATGCAGAACTTGGTAAAGAGCGTGAAACAAGTGTGTTTTCCGCTCTTTAAAGTGACAAGATGGGAAGTTCTCTGCTTCTCTTTCACCGGCTGGGAGGTTTTTTTTTGCTCTTCAAAGAGGAGATGGAGAAAAGAGAGGATCCGAGTGGATCCCAAGAGAAACCCAATGTCCCCCATTCTTCGGATTCCGGGTGACCCGTCGTGAGTCAGCCTGAGGCCCCCTTGTATAAAAGGGGGCCAAGAACGGACCTAGGCAGCCCACCCTCCTTCCTATAGGTTGGAAACAAGACAGGGGGAGTTTCCCCTGAACTGGAGTTCCTGAGTTCCAGCTGCGCAGACTTTCAGCCTTCCTCTTTGTCAGCTAACTGTGCCTGCTGTTCCCCCCGGGGCGACCCCTTTTCTGTCCGCCCTTGCCAAGCAGGCTGCCATCCCTTGAAGTGGGAGGGGTGCCAGTTCTTCTCTCCTTTTTTGTGCAGTGACTTATTTGTGTGGGCGTGTAAATGTTAATTCTGTACTGCAACACCTCTCGAAGATTGCAAGTTTCCTTCCCGGCGTGGCAGACTTTAATACGCTTTGCTGAGCCTTCGTTAAATCTTCTTCCGGTCTCTTTTCATAATCATCAGCTGTTCAGCCAGGCCCCCCTATTGTGTGTGTGTGTGTGTGAATTGCGTGTTGGGGTGGGGGCCAACAGGCAGGGAAGCGTTGATTCTCACCCTCCCCAAACTAGTTGGGCGCTTGGGAGGGGCGGTGTGCACTGTCCACTCTGCAGATACAGGGCACGGAGCTTGTAACGATGACCCACGCCCGCTTGAAATTGCATCCCTCTGGGATTATTTGGGTAACCTTAATGTTCTTGAGATTTAGTCATACTAAGAGGCAAACCCAAGAATGGAGGAGAGGTTGACGATCATCTAGGTCAACCCGCTGTCTGGTGCAGGAATTCCTCATAACAGCATCCCTGAACAGAGAAACACCCAGCTTCTGTTTAAAGCGTTGTTGTTCCTCAACCACAGGAACTTTANAATTTTTGCACAAATTCCAATGGATTATTATTATTATTATACAATTGTATCACAGCGGCCAGTTGTTTCGCCGGATTTGGCATTGGTTACTATTATTATTATTATTCTTTTTTCAGTCCCGTCTCTCTGTTTTTTTCCCCCCCTGCCTCGTAAAATATGAAGTGTCAAGCGAGTTTTCCACATTCCTTCTGGAAACCGTAATTCACTTTTCGCACGGAGGGGAAGAAGGTTGGAAGAATTAACTGTCTTCATTCCTCTCGGGCGAAAGCGGGCACGCACGCACGCAGGAAGCAGCACGCCCTCAAACAAAAACCCAGCCTCCTCCCTCCCACTTTGATAGACTCCGTCCCAGGCAGGGAAACTCCGGCCTCTCCAGCTCCTCCTGCATTCCGGAGGGGCGTTACTAAAGGAACTCGAACGGGAGGGCTTGGAACGGCAGGCAAAGCTTTCCCCCCCCCCCCACAGCTCTCCCCGGTTCAACCAGGGCGTCAACAGCGGTTTCTGCAGACTCCAGATATTTGAGCTTCTGTTGCGTTTCTATAAATCAAAATCGCAGGAGCCATCAAAGCATTTTTTTTTTTAAAAAAGTGCTTTTCTTTGCCTCGACACGAGGCAGGAGAACACAAACCGTAGCTGTTGCCTTTAGGAAGGGAGCCGACGGTGGGCCAATCGCGGCTTTCTTTGCCATCCCTGGTTGGCTGCCCGGAGGAGCGCGATGGCTCCAGCCAGTCCCGAAGGCTGGGAATTGGACGCAGGCCACCCACCAGCAGATACGTACGCCCTAACCCTCCTTAAAGCACTGAGCCCAAGAGTGGCACAGTGGTTGGAGTGCAGTACTGCAGGCTCCTTCTGCCGGCTGCCTGCAATTTGGCAGATTGAATCTCACCAGGCTCAAAGTTGACTCAGCTTTCCGTCCTTCCGAGGTGGGTAAAAGGAGGACCCAGATTGTTGGGGTTTCCAAGAGGCTGACTCTGCAAACCATTTAGAGAGGGCTGGGAAGGACTGTGAAGCAGCATATAAGTCTAAGGGCTATTGCTAGTCCCTTCCTTCCTTCCTTCCTTCCTTCCTTCCTTCCTTCCTTCCATCCTTCCTTCCATCTTTCCTTCCATCCTTCCTCCCATCCTTCCTTCCATCCTTCCTTCCATCCATCCTTCCTTCCTTCCTTCCTTCCTTNGTATAGATCTTTAACAAAGACAGTCTAAAATATATTGGAAAAGGGGCCTTTTCTTTCATACGGTGGTAGAGACACGTTACTCTCCTTACCACCACGGTCTCCTTACCACCCGTGTTCTAGACTTAAACCCGGCAGGGGGAGATAACCACGATTGTCCCGGAGTCCTTAAGTGGGTTCTTTTTTTTTGCAAACTTATTCCCGGGCCGCAGCTTCGATCTGGACTCCAATCCCTTTTTTTTCCAGGAGAAGAAGCGCTTAACCATCTGCAACATCGCCCATCACTGGGAAGTGCAGCAGAGCCGTCTCGCCCGCAAGCTTCCGAACCCGGAGCATCTCCAAGGCGAGGAGCCCTGTCAGAACAACAGGAACGCGGCCTGCGAGTTTCTCGAGGAGGAAGGCAGGTAGGCGGCATCGCGGACTTCGGTCCAGGACGAGGCCTTCTTGGAAATCGAAAGGTCTCCTTCCTCCAACAGCCTCAAGCCGGGCAGCTTTCAGAGGCCTGGACTTCAACTCCCAGAATCCCCCCAGCCAGCCTATGGCTGGCTGGGGGATTCTGGGAGTTGAAGTCCAGGCCTCTGAAAGCTGCCCAGCTGCTTGAGCAACACTCACCCAACCTCTCTCAGGGTAGTCCTCAACTTAACGACCACAGCAGGTATCCCTCGACTTTCAACATTTCATTTAGTGGCCACCCGAAGCTGCAACGGCAGTCAAAAAAAAGGGACTGACGACCATTTTTCACCCTTACGACGGTTGCGGCATCCCCGTGGTCAGGTCAAAATCCGGACTCCTTGGCAACGGTTTCGTATTTATGACGGTTGCAGCGTCCCAGCGTTCACACGATCCCCTTTTGGTGGCCTTCTGACGAGTCGACGGGGAAGTCAGATTCACTTAACTGTGTGACTCGCTTAACTGCAGTGACTCACTCAACAACCGTGGCGTGGGAGGTCGCCAAATGGGGCAAAGCCCCGTGTCTCGCTTAGCGCCGTAAATTTTGGGCTCCGTTTTGGTTGTAAATCGGGGATTACGTGTCGTTTCGAAGTCCTTATTTCTTCCCCCCCCATCTGTATTTAAATCCTGGTTTTCCTCCCCTGCTTTCCTCCTCTCTCCTCCCCCCATAAATATACAACTGGTTGTGTGATCTCTCTCTCTCTCTCTCTCTCTCCAACAAACAAGCGTTTCCTGCCAGATCCAACGGGCGTGAAGCTGCTAATTCTTTGCGCATGAACGGCTCCCGTCAACACGGCCCCTCGGAACAGTCCCCCCCCCTCCCCAGTTGGTCCATCTCTCTCTTTCTCTCTCTCTCTCTCTCTCCCCCTCTGGCACCTGTGTTATTTTAAGGAGAAACTCTTCCTTAGCTCCGACTCGCTGGTGATTCATACGATAATTTCTGGAATTATTGGCTGCGCCTGTGTGTTTCTCACTGCTTTGAGCCGCTTTGCCAAAGCCAATAATCATAATTTATTCAGGTTTATTTTTAAGAAAAACACGCGCACACACCAGACAGGGTGTGTTGTTAAAAAACTCCTCCGCAGTGAAGGCATCAATGCTTCTTTCAGGACTTAAGAGTGGAAGCTGCGTGTTTGTGTGTGAGTAGGAAGGGCCAGCACGGCTGTCCTGTGTGACCTTAACACTTGTTTTAAGAGAAGGAACCTCGAAAGAACGCAAGATTCCAGGCAGACCGCGTTCCCCGTCCTTGTCCACTTGAAGACATGGGGACTTCATCTCCCAGAATTCCTCAGCTGGCCAGGGGATTCTGGGGAGTGAAGTCCACGCGTCTTCCACTGGACAACGTTGGGCAAAAGGCCTTTACGAGAAGGCCATTGTCAGGGTTCCAAATAGCCTCCGAAAGTAAATCAGAGCCCGAGGCAAAGGATTCCTCAAAGTTCCCATTGGATTTGGATTGGATTGGATTTATTATATTTCTATGCCGCCCTTTTCCCCGAAGGGGACTCAGGGCGGCTCACAATTCAGTCAGGGAAAGGGGTACAGACAGGGGATAAAAAAGACAAACNGTGTGTGTGTGTGTGTGTGTGTGTGTGTGTGTGCTGACTTGGGAAACAAGCAGTCGCTTCCTTGCAACCCTGATTCCAGGCCCTTTTAGGGAGTCTCAAGGGTGGCCCAGTGTTTGGGCTTTTCATACTATCCTACTTTAGCCTGGAAATCAGGCTTAGGCCAGCCCTTTTGGGATTACTTGGTTTTTGCCAAGGGAGAGATGAATGAATGGATGATGGATGTTTGCCAGCCTTGCGAGGTAATCCAGAAAACACGCCTACCCAGAAGACTTCAACTCCCAGAATTCCCCAGCTAGTAGATGCAGATTTCAACTCCCAGAATTCCCCCAATAGCAGGTCGGACTTCAACTCCCAGAATTCCCTAGCTGATAGGTGCAGACTTCAACTCCCAGAATTCTCCAACTGGAGGTCTAGACTTCAAATCGTAGAATTCCTTAGCTACCTGATGTGGACTTCAACACTCAGAATTCTCCAGCTATCAGGGTGTGGAGGGATGGGCAAGTGCCTGCCTGCCTGCCTGCCTGATGATTGGGTGGATGTTTGGACTGGTGGGTTGGAGGGTCGTTGGGTGGGTGTGTGCCTGCCTGCCTGCCTGGATGATTGGATGGGTGATAGGATGGATGGATGGATGGATGTGTGACTGGCTGCCTTCCTGCCTTCCTTTCTGCCTGGATGATTGGATGATTGGATAATTGGATTGATGATTGGATGGATGGGTGGGTGGTTTCCTGCCTGCCTCTGTTCCTGCAAGCCTGCCTGCCTGCATGCCTGGATGATTGGATAATTGGATTGATCATTGGGTGGATGGGTGGGTGGTTTCCTGCCTGCCTGTCTGCCTGGGTGTTTGAATGATTGGATAATTGGATGGATGGGTGAGTGGCTTCCTTCCTACCTGCCTGCCTGCCTGGATGTTTGGATAATTGGATGGGTGGGTTGGTGGGTGGGCGGCTGCCTTTCTGTCTGCTTGCCTGTCTGGATGATTGGATGGATGATAGGATGGATGGATGGGTTGCTTGCTGCCTGCCTGCCTGCCTGCTTGCCTGGATGATTGGCTAATTGGATTTATGATTGGATGAATGAGTGGTTTCCTGCCTGCCTGCCTGCCTGATGATTGGATAATTGGATTGATCATTGGATGGATGGGTGGGTGGTTTCCTGCCTGCCTGTCTTCCAGCAAGCCTGCCTGCCTGCCTGGGTGTTTAAATGATTGGATGGATGTGTGGGTGGCTTCCTTCCTGCCTGACTGCCAGACACACAGCCTCCCTCCCTCCTTCCCTCCCTCCCTCCCTCCCTCCCTTCCTTCCTTCCTTCCTTCCTTCCTTCCTTCCTTCATCTTTGGATGATTTGATGGAAGTTTGGTTGGGTGAGTTGGTGGGTGGTTGGGTGGGTGACTGCCTTTCAGTCAGTCTGCCTGCCTGGATGATTGGATGGATGATAAGATGGACAGATGGATGAGTGGCTGGATGCCTGCCTGCCTGCCTGCCTGGATCTATCCCATTTTAGCTCTGGATTTCAGCTCTTAGAATTGCCCAGATACATCCAGAATTCTCCAGCTAGTAGGTGCAGACTCCAACTCCCAGAATTCCCCAGATGGCAGGGTGTGGGTTTCAGCTCTCAGAATTCCCCAGCCAGCATGGAAGTCGAAGTCTACATGTTTTAAAAAGTTGTCAAAAGTTCCTTAAAGTCCTCCTGCATTTCCCCCCACCCCGATCACCTCCTTGCTTCCGCATCCGTCTCCTTAGCCCCATTCTTTTAGCAGGATGTCTTGCCCAGAGAGCTGAGGTGGCGCAGTGGTTAGGGTGCAGTACTGCAGGCCACTTCAGCTGACTGCTATCTGCAGTTCGGCAGTTCAAATCTCACCGGCTCAAGGTTGACTCAGCCTCCCATCCTTCCGAGGTGGGTGAAATGAGGACCCAGACTGTGGGGGCAATATGATGACTCTGTAAACCGCTTAGAGAGGGCTGAAAGCCCTATGAAGCGGTATATAAGTCTAACTGCTATTGCTAGATAGATAGATAGATAGATAGATAGATAGATAGATAGATAGAT